GCCTCAACTCCGCCCCTTCCCCAAATCCCCAGCCCTGCCTCCTCCCCCCAGGCTCAAGCCTAGGAGGGAGGGGGCGAAGAGGCGCCGCGCTGTGGCCACTCGGAGTCTTCCCCTCCCTCCCAGGTTTGAGAGCCTGGGAGGGAGGGGGAGACTCCGAGTGGCCGTGGCGCGGGTGCCGCTTCTCCCCCTCCCTCCCAGGCTCTCAAGCCTGGGACGGAGGGAGAGCAGCAGCGCGCGAAACGGCCACTCGGGATCTCCCCCTCCCTCTGAGGTTTGAGAGCCTGGGAGGGAGGGCGAGTAGCGGCACACGAATCAGCTGTTTCGCGCGCCATGGCAGCAGCAGCGGAGGTGAGCTAGGGCGGCTGGGGCACATTTTTAGGGGCGGTATTCTGGTGCCGGCCATGCCGCCCCTAAAAATGTGCCACCCCAAGCACCAGCTTGTTTTGCTGGTGCCTAGAGCCGGCCCTGGGGGTATGTGGGGCAGATGGGGATATGGAGTGAGGCAGATTGCCATAGGGTCTCTCGGCTAGCCCCAAAGGGCTCACTGAGGGAGCTAAGTGCTGGGCATGCAAGTTGCTAGCTTGCAGAGGGAAAGAGCAGGCCCTGCAGAGCCCAGAGTGGGGCACTGGTGTTGCCAGCAGCTGGTAGTGTTGAGCAAGTTCCTGCCCCTGAGGGCACAGACAAGGCTCCTCTGCAGTAAGCAGGAGGTAGCACTTCATCCTGAACCCCTTGGGTAACCCCAAAAGGGTCAAAGTGCTCTAACCACTGAGCTATGGGATATTCTGATGTGGGGCTCCCACATCTCTCCCATTGAAGCTCTTCAATAATTGATAAATAATGAAAGTGACTGAGTAGGGGGCCTGGACCCAGGGTCTCCCACATCCCAGGCAGCTGCCCCAACCACTGGATTGCAGAGTCATTGCCACACCCTCTTGCCCAGCACTATTTCTACATACTGGAATCCCTTCAACAGGAGAGAGACTGAGGTATCCTCACAGCAGAATATCCCACAGATTAGTGGTTAGAGCACAGTCCTGAGAGGTGGGAGACCCCTGTTCAAATCCTCTTCCCCCTCTCTGGCAGAGAGGCTGGATTGAACCTGGGTCTCCCACATCCCAGATGTGTGCCCTAGCCACTAGGCTAAACGTTATAATATGGACAGTGGCAGCTGCACCACCTGCTCCAAATCCACTGTTCTGTGCACAGCCAGGCAAGCACCTAACTCATTCCCACAAGAAATGCCCTCCAGGTGGCTGGTTCCTGTTCATGGATCACTAAGCCGAGATAAGCCCTGCCTCTCTTGAGACAGATGCCTAACACACCCCTCCGCCACATTTCCCCAGTGGCTAGCTTAGGCAGCTCCCTGCCTAGCATGCTAGCTGTTGTGGATCATGTTCCAAAACTCTTATCTCTACCACATTGGATAGGGCAAGGGTGGGCAAACTACGGCCCACGGGCCAGATCCGGCCCCTCAGGGCTTTGGATCTGGCCTGCGGGATTGCCCCCCCCCCCCGCCCTGTGGTGCCACAGGCCCTGGGCCACTCTCAGAAGCAGCCCTCAGGCAGGGAGGGGCAGAGGGCTCCATGTGCGTTGCCCTTGCCTCCAGGCACTGCCCCCACAGCTCCCATTGGCTGGGAATGGGGAACCCTGGCCAATGAGAGCTTTGGGGGAGGTACCTGGAGGCTCAGCAAGGGCAGCACACGCAGAGCCCTCCCCCAGGGGCTGCAGCACTTCCTGGAGCAGCGCAGGGCCAGGGAAGGCATGCAGGGAGCCTGCCCTGGCCCAGGTGCATGCTGCTGCCACCCCGGAGCTGCTTTAGGTATGCGGTGCCGGAGCTCAAACCTCTCCTGCCCCCTGCCCCCCAACTCCCTGCCCTAAGCCCCGTCTGCACCTCGCACCCCTCCTGCACCCAGCCCCCTGCCCTGAGCCCCCTCCTGCAGTCTGCACCCCTCCTCTGCTCCAATCCCTTGCCCTAAGTCCCTTCCTGCACACTGCACCCCCTTCTGTACCTCAACCCCCCCCCCTTACAATTTCCCCTCCCAGACGTGGCCCTCGGCCCAAAAAGTTTGCCCACCCCGGTATAGGGAGCCTAGGTGCCTAACTCAGCTTTGTGGATTGCAGTGCTGTTCTTGTGCTTTTCTAGGCACCTAAAAATTGCAACACCCAAGTCTCTTTGTGGATCTCATCCAAGGTTTAATGCTTAGCTAAAGTTAGGGCTATAGTGCCACAGATACGCATAAGAGCATATAATCTTGCCATGTCTTTACAAGTGTAAAGAAGCAACCTTTTCATTGCGGAACCAATGGGCCTTGTTCTAGCATAGAGCAATTCTTAAAAGTGCAAGTAGAACTGGCTGCTTCTGAAAATCTGCCTTTACAGTTTTGTTTAAACTCCATCAGGGCTGGGAACGTCTTTGGGAATGGAAGGGTAAGGAGCAAGACCATCTCCAAAGTACTGAAGCATGGAAATTCAGAGTTAAGCTTGCTGCCCATCCTAATTTACTAGGCAGTAAATTAGAAATTCCAGATCAACGGCTATCATAGGTTTAGTAAATGGCATCAGTTACTGGATGAGAGTGTAGTCTTTTCATGTACAATAGACTTAATTCCCCTTGAAGGAAGATTTAGTTAATTTCTCTGTAGTGTTTTAGTTCAGTAGTCTGACAAATGCAAGAAAGCCACCTAAGATGGAATAAGATCACCATGCCTGCCACAAACTAGATATACTATATCCTTCCCAACAGAATCTCTTAGTACACCTATATCAATACCCTTCCATTCTGATTCTTAAATGTTTCTTAGTCCCGCCACAAATGCAGGGGACTGGACTAGATGACCTCTTGAGGTCCCTTCAAGTTCTATGATTCTACGTGTGTTGTGAATTGGCAATTTTAAGTATGTTTTCCCTAAACTTGCCACTCTACTCCTCATGAAACACACTTTGTATAGTAAAATTATATACTGTATACATAACGGCAGCAGCCTCCCTTTAAGTTCAGAGAGTTCAAATACAAACTCATTTCCACCTGGAGATGCTTATATACTATATTGATGAGCATTAAGGAAACCCTAAAATAGTCAGACAAGAGGTTATACACTGTACTTAAGTTCTGTAATTTCTACTGGTTAAGTTTCTGGTGGACTACTCACCCATCAACTTCTGGCAGCTCTGACCCTTGTTCATATCTCACAGTTGTCGTCATTTTGCTCTTTCCAGTTCTGTTGCTCTTAAAGAGAATGCATCTAGAAAAAGGAAACAGGCTATTTCTTCAAAACATTTTAGATTAAGACATTTGAAGTAACACAGTAGATATGCACTAGCATCCATTATAGGAGTTTCACATACAAGTTTAATCTAAACATTCAGAAAAAGCTTCTACTTCATTCCTGAATGTATATAGATTTATATCCCTAATTCAGAAAGTACTAAGCACCTGCCTAACTTTAAGTATGAGTACTTCTACTGATGTGCTTAGAGAGTTAACCACATGCACAAGTACCTTGCTGAACTGGGGTCTAATACAGTAGAACAGGGGTCGGCAACCTCTGGCACGCGGCTCACCAGGGTAAGCACCCTGGTGGCCCGGACCAGTTTGCGGCGGGAAGTGGCGCGGGCCAAGGGATGTGCTGGCCGCAGCCTCCCGCCACCCCCATCGGCCTGGAGCAGCGAACCACAGCCAGTGGGAGCTGCGATCGGCCGAACCTGCAGATGCAGCAGGTAAACAAACTGGCCCGGCCCGCCAGGGTGCTTACCCTGGCGAGCCGCATGCCCGAGGTTGCCGACCCCTGCAGTAGAACCTCAGAGTTACAAACACCTCGGGAATGGAAGTTGTTTGTAACTCTGAAATGTTCGTAACTGAACAAAACATTATGGTTGTTCTCTGAAAAGTTCAAAAGTGAACATTGACTTTGAAACTTTACTATGCAGAAGAAAAATGCTGCTTCAAACCATCTTAAAATTAAATGAAACAAGCACAGACAGTTTCCTTGCCTTGTCACTTAAAAAAGCCTTTTTTTAATAGTTTACATTTAATACAGTACTGTATATGCTTTTTTGGTTGTCTGTGTACTGTACTTCAGGTTCCAAAGGAGATGTGGTTGACCAGTCAGTTCATAACTCTGGTGTTTGTAACTGAGGTTCTGCTGTATACCAAAGTTAAATAATTTTTAAAGCATTCCATCAGGCTTGTATCTATCCCAAATGGCAGATGTTTTATCCATCTTCTCCTTTAAGCCATACAGTGCATGGAAAAAGCCAGTACAGACTTAAGTGTTTCTCATCTAAAAGTGACCCAGAAATCCTAAAAATAAGTTCAAATACATTCCAAAAGCACCCAATTTATATTAGAATTTCTGGTTTACTCCTTAAATCCATCATGGACTGCCCAAGTACAATTTAAGAAAAACTAGAGACCATGTTTTCCATTAATGATGTTAATATCCATGAAGTGTGGAGCTACTTCAGAGATGTTTAAAGCAATATTAAATTGAGCATTTGTATTTCAAGAGAATGGAGGGGTAGTTTCAAACTGGACTACTGAGAGGACTTCAACCCAGATCTACAAAGGGACTTAGCCATTCTGATGCTGAGCATCATGGCCCCTTGCTTTTAGGTGCCTAGGGGGAGGGGAAGGAAAAAACCCACCACCAATCACAGGAACAACACTGATCCACAAAACCTGAGTTAAGCACTTAGTTTCCTGTACAACGAATGGGGAGAGATAGATGGCAGAGACTGATCCACAAAGCTAGGTGGGGAGCCACCTAAGCTTGCCAATGCAAGACACCAATGAGAGGGGCATGTGTTAAGCCACACCCCTCTCAGAGACAGGCACCAGGGGAAGATACACATGTGGAGCCTGAAACAGCAATAGCAGGACGATGCCTCCCTTATAACCTTGAGCCTAGTGCATAGGGGGACTCACCCACCATATGGGAGACCCCCCTGGTTAAGTCACCTCTCCTCCTGAAGGGGAAGGGATTAGACCAGGCACCTGTCACCTCTCAGGTGACTGCCCCAATCTCTGGGACACAGTCACTCACTTTCACTGGCCTAATTAATATTTCATTATTCAATTATTTAAATTCAGTAAGCGAGATAGCGAGAGCCCCACATCAGAATCTCCCATAGCCTGGGTGAGTACCCTATGCACTAGGCCAAAAGTTTAAAAGGAAGGTCCTTCTCCTCCTCTTTCCTCCCACCACCAGTTTTGTCTGAACTTCCCTGAGGGGGCTGAGCTGGTAAGTGGCCTCTGAGCACACCTACTAGATCAGGCCCTATACACGACTTAGGTGGCTGTACACCTACCTTCCCCAGTTTGTGAATCGCTCAGGGATTCGGGCTGGACATCCAGATGCCCATTGTTAGGCAGTAGCAGGTATGCTCAGGCAGGAGACAGGTGCCTAAAGTGAGACTGCAGTACACCTATCCAGAGGTAAAAATATAGGCACCTACACAAGCAGGAGTTTTGTGGATCACAATGGGGCCTAAAAATGGGACAGGCTCCTACACACCTTCCTGGATCACACCCTTTGTCACTGACTTCAGACCACGCAGCACAACTTTGGCAAATGAGAATAGATGGGGACAGGCAAGCTAGCCTTGGAAGAGAAAGGAGCGAGATCCAGGCGTTAATGAGGGCATAGGAAGATTAGTAGCTACTTCAACACAACTGGGGCACTTCCCCTCCCCCCCTTCATTGGGCAAACTATTGGGCAGACAGAAGCCCAATGCAAAAGGGGTGCAGAGTAAATCAAGGTTGGTGAGATTTCTGTATAGAAAGGAGAGTCCGTTTTAGGAAGTTTAAGTGGCACCAGGCAACGTTGATAGGATGGGTTTAGTCTGCTTGAACTACAGCTCTGTTTAGCTTCTTAAGCAAGTGTGTGTCCTCTCAACCCTCCCTTCCACTGACTGCAATGCAATGTAGTCTCTTTCCTAGACTGTAATGGGAGATAATGACATTTGTGTAGGCTAACAATGCTGTGCCTTGTACAGGACATTTGTGTAGGCCAACAATGCTGTGCCTAGTACAGGACATTAGCAAGGGAAATGCACTGTCAATGTGGTAGAGCCTAGCTGTCCCTTCCCTCATGCAAATAGCATTCTGATTTGGTTGTCAGCCAGTGAGTCTGGCACAATAGCAATTTATTGAAGTGAGCTTTGTGTTACTTCACAGAACTGGCCTAACAAGCGTAATGCTTGGGTGATGCATCAGCAGAAGCGCAGGGAAGACAAGCACTCTGGAAGAGGTTTAGGGGTTAGTTCAGGGCCACCCAGAGGATTCAGGAGGCCTAGGGCAAAGCAATTTCAGGGGCCCCTTCCATAAAAAAAGTTGCAATACTATAGAATACTATATTCTTGTGGGGGCCCCTGCAGGGCCCAGGGCAAATTGCCTCACTTGCCCCCCACCCGTTCTGGGTTAGTGTTCCCTCCCACAGGAGCAAGAGGGGAGAGGTCAACGGAGATTTTAAATGATCAGCATATTCCCCAGATTCTCACTGTACCAGGGGCCTACTCCACTCCCAGCGGAAATGAAAGGAGCCCCAGGGCTGTCCTGCACAGCTCACTGACATCCTGCAGCCCCAGAGCAGCGGTTTGTGTTTGTAACGCCACAGCTGTTTGCCTGGGACACGGGACACCAGACAAGCCAAGAGAGCAGAGAATGGAGGAAGTGATGCACATAGCAAGGGGAGGAATGCGTGTTTCGCCACACACACAGATCCCGCGGCAGGCACAGCTGCGGATCATTAATTCCCGCAGCAGCAGACGGAGTCAGGAACCCAAGAGGAAATCGCTTTGGTTTTCTCCATCAGGCGGCGTCTCACCTCCCCCCCAAACCTGCCGGGTGCCAGGTGTAGGGGGCTCGAAGCCCCTCTCCCGCACATCTCCCCCTTACCTATCCTCTCAGGCGGGGCTCTGTGCCGGTGACTCAGGCGAGGAACCCGACCCCCCTTCCCTGAGAGCTGGGAAGTCTTGTGACCGGCTCAAAGTTTAGTTCAGGCACAAGCTCCTCTCCCTGGTCCTCTCCGCGCTCTGCAGACTCAGCAGGGAGGGTTTGTTTTTAAACTGCCTACGCTTTATTATAATAATAAAAAAAATCCCTCTCTACAGTCGTTCCAGTTCCCTTCAGTGCCGCTCAACAGCTGCTTCCCCCTCCCGGCTTTATTGCATTACCGCGGGGAGCAGGCGGCGCTGATTGATCCTTGTGCTGCTGGGGGGCGGGGGGGAGAAGCCACCCGCTCCAGCGCCACACCTGATTCCCATCAGTGCTGCTCACGCCCTGCCTGTGGCTCAGGGGACCTCCGCAAACTGCTGGCCGGTTTCAAGCCCAGGCAGGAGGTGAGCAGTGCTGAGCGGCCACTCGGGCAGTACAGAAGTCTCCCGCGAAGGGCGCACCATGGCCGCGTGGCAACAGGCAGGTCCCGCACCACTAATAGCAGAATAATGAGTAGTTCGTGCATCGTATTTGTCATGCCTGGATCTCAGAGTGCTTAATACAATGCCAATGCGTGCTGAGTGTCCCTTCCCATCTTAATGGTGTCACCGTTTATTTATAACAACAGTTCCAGGCTCTGGCAGGACCCTGCTCCTGCAAACATTCATGAAACCTTATTTACACAGCTAGCCCTCTGAAGTCTTTTCAATGTAAAGGCTCCTTTTGAAGGATTATAATCACCTGGATAAAACTGTGTACAGTATATGCATAAACGTTTGCAGGATGAGGGCCTAGGTTAAGGGCTAGCAGTTTTGCTTTGACCCCTCATCTACTCCAGTTGGATGGTAAGGGCCGGGAAATGCCGAGCCTGGAATATGGTCACCAGACAGCAAATGCGAAAAATCAGAACAGGGGGTGGGGAGTAATAGGAGCCTATATAAGAAAAAGACCCAAAATCGGGACTGTCCCTATAAAATCAGGACATCTGGTCACCCTAGCCTGGAAATCACTATTGCTTAAGGACCTGTTCCAGCTCCTGCTGACTTTAATGAGAGTGAACATAGGATCTATCTTCTTTTATGGTTTCTGTCACCTTGCCATCTAAGATGATTTTGGATCACTTTGGATGCATTATTACAAGTTATCATTATGTAAGCCCTTCGCTGCTAATACACATCAGTAAAAATGCTGTCATCCTCTCTCTAATTTGTTTCTGTAAATCTATGCACTATATAAATCTGCTCTTTGGCCATCCCAGTGCACTTTCTGTCCAGTTTGTGGTGTTTGTCTAGATAGGCATCGATTCTGCAAAGCCTTATGTAGCTACTTAGGGGTGGGCTACACTGAAAACTTACATTGACACAGCTATATGAGGGGTGTGAAAAATCTACACCCTGAGAGATGTAGCTATGCCAACCTATCCCCTGGTGTAGATAGTGCTAGGTTACCTTACCGCCTCTCGGTGAGGAGGATTAACTACAGTGATGGAGGAACCCCACCTGTTGCTGTAGCGAGTGTCTACACTGAAGTGCTACAGTGTGTCGCTATAATGTCTTAAGTGTAGTCATCCCCTTAACTTTCTGTACTGTGAGTGTGAGTCATCCCTTTGAAGCCAATGGGATGACTCGTAGTGTGTACATGGGACTGACTGCTCACAATATATAACACAGAGTGTGTAAAGTTAAGCACACACATACATCTTTGCAGGCGTTGGGTCTTTGATTGTAAACTCTGAGAGGCAATGTGTTTTGGGTTATTTTGTTCCTTCAACAGTACCAAGCACAATGTCACCATTTAAGATTAAGATTAATTAACAATATTCTAATTTGAGTAGTTCAATATTTATCTCCTAGTCAAGAAAAACAACTACTCTTTTGATGATCATAAGGCCTTATCTACATGGGAAAGCTTTACCAGTTATATTGGTAAAAACTCCCGTGTGGACACTCTTGCCCCAGTATAGGATTGCCTTTTTTCAGTTTATCTTAAATCGCTTCCTAAGTGACATAAAATAAATCCCCAAAAAGGGCAATCTTATACTGGAATAGGAGTATTCACATGGGTCTTATACAGATATAACTATATTGGTTTAAATTCACATCAGATTATACTGGAAAACATACTTGTGTAGACAAAGCCTTAGCATTTTTAATCAGATGGGCTTCGGTGATTAGCTTTGTTAATTTGTCACTGCTTATTTTAGTTCGTACCTTTCACTAAAAGAACACCTTTGATTATATTTTTGTAGATTTTTTTCTTGTTTTCCACAGACTGCAAGGGTGTCTGCCTCAGATCCCCAAAGGTATTTAGGGATCTGGGCCTCTGACACTTGAAACGTTTTCTCTACTTGGCAACTTTTCCACTGGGCAACTTCTGCCTAGTTTTAAGAGGGAGATTTTAAAAGAGGGAGTTTGTCATTGTCATTTGAAAATGTCTTTATTACAAAGAGAGCTGAAATTAGCAACACTGTGTGGGTTTTTTCCACAACTGTAACTTTTGCAATGATTTGTCATTAAAAAATAGCCTTCCTTTTGTGTCTCAACCTCACTCATGATTTCAGCACAACTCCCAAAGCAGTGTTCACGGCAGCTGCATGGCCCAGCAGAGGGAGCTCACAGTGTGCTTTAGTAAGTCTTGTCCAAGAGGTGGTCACAGTGTTTGAGTTTGTTTGTTTAGTTGCAAATTTCTCAGTGATGAAATTGCAGGAATCATTGTTTTCTAAAAACGAAACAAAACCCCTTTGATGAATACTTAGAATTTGGAGCACTTTTATGCATGGAACTGAAATAAATGGAAGGTAAGGTATATTTTACACCTGTAACCCGTAATTATATCTTTTAAAATGTGTTTTTCCCCCTTTCTCAGACAGTTTTCCTTTTGCTTAGTCCTAGTAAATGATCTTCATATGAAAACTGGCTTTCTGCATTATAGTTACTATATTTATACCTGATAACATAAATTCCTTAAACTTTTCACAAATTCCAGTACTAAACAAACAACAAAACCTTGATTCTGTTGGGTTTCATTTGGTTTGATACATTGGATTAGGATTGTTGCAGCCATGAGTTAAAGCAGAGAGGTACGTATGAGACTGAAGAGGGGAGGGAAACAGACCAAGTCCAGGCTAAGTGTAATGAACATATGGAATACGCCACTATTAAGATCAATAAGTAGTAAATTGTAACTTATGTTTAAGGTCAATAAAACAAATGAATTAAATAAATAAATAAATGTGTTGAAGAAACAGCTGGACATTTCTGGAAACTAGCAAGATGATGATGAGAAGATGAGGAGGAGCTTTTACATTTACCCTTTTGGTGATGAACATTTTTAAATGTGGTAGTTTTTATTTTTTTTCTAAGGGATTGATCCTACAGTTCTCGTGGACACACAATATGGATTCATTTCAGCTGAGGATTATGTGTGTGGAATGTATTTGGGATCAGAAGGAAACTATTTAGAGGAGTGATTGAATTCAGTAGCTTGATTTCCCCTGTTCTGGATTCCTTGTGTAACAAAATAGGAATTTGATGTTTTGCGATGCATGGCTCAATTGAGATGCTGACTTTTCCCAAGAATCATTGTGCTCAGCATATACAAGTAGCAAGAGCAAGGGGACAACTTGAAAGGCCTTTGGGTCTGATTCTCTGTTGCCCTTTACACCAGTTCTGTGGGCATAAAGGAACCAGATATGCTTCCTACATAATAGAAGTGGACTTGAACCAAAATCTGAGATCAGAACATCTCTGACTTTTCATTGTATCCAGAACTGACTTTTGTGGCTTGGACCTAATTCTAATTATTAGTACTTTTATTATTACTAATTGTACAGCACTGTCTGTGCTTTACCAGTGTTGCCAGCTCTCATGGTTCATCATGAGACTCAAGAGCCTTGGTGTATTTTCTTAAACCCCCAGCTCCTGAAGGCAAGTGATTATATTAGAATCTTAGCTTTCATTTTTTTAATAAAAGTACGTATCTAACCTTCACGTTTGTGGAGGAAGGCTTAAAACCATGACCCAAGTGTATCCTAAAGGGTCAGAAAGTTGAAGGCAAATAAATAGAACCACAAATGTTCAATTCTGAGGGTTCTAAATGAGATTTTTATGCTGATCTTATTATTTTTGGAGGTCCAATTCCTCCTGGGGTTGGCAGTACTGCTTTACAGCCATTTAAAAAGACATGAGTCTAGTTCTGATCTCAAAGCCGTTTTCAGCAGTGTGAATTGACAGTGGTCCATTACTAGACAGAAATGATAATGCAGAAAAGGCAGAAGTGTTCAAGAAATATTTCTGTTCTGTACTTGGGAAAAAGTGGGATGATGTTTTCATATTAGATGATGATGATAAAACACTTTCCATAGGCGTAGTTTCACTTCTATATTTGGGAAGGCAGTTCCAATCAGCCCAACAGAACCATGGGGGGAGAAAGGGGTAGGGGCAAATTCTGCGCCTGCCTGAGGCTTGCAGTTTGGGGAGACAATGCTCCCTGTTCCCCAGATTTACACTCATGATTCCAACAGTAACTCAGGAGAATGTTAAAAAACAGCTACTAATGTTCTACATTTTAAAATCAGCAGGTCAGGATAATTTGTATCTGAGAGTTTTAAATGACCTGGCCAAGGACCTCACTGTATCATATTGTTAATTTTCAATGTTTTGAAACAGTGGGGAAGTTCCACAGGACTGGAAGAAAGCTAATGTTGTGCCAGTATATAAAAAGGGTAAATGAGATGATCTGATGTTGACCTCAAGCAAAATGGTGGAACAGTTGATACAAGAACTTGATTATTAAATAATTAAATTAATATAATTAATGTCAATCAACATGGGCTTATGGAAAATAGATTTTGTCAAACTAATTTAGTATCTTTTTTTCATGAGATTACAAGTTTGGTTGATAAAGGCAATATGTTAATGTAATATATTTAGACATCTGTAAGGCATTTGTCTTGGTACCACACAACATTTTGATTAAGAAACTACCAAGATACAAAATCAGCCTGGCATGCATTAAATGGATTAGAAGCTGGCTGATAAGTGCAGTGTGTAGCTACAATAGTGCAAGTGGCGCAGTTGTGCCATGGCCCACAAGATTGTGGGGGTATGCTTTACCTGCTGTGATGCCACTCATTCAATGCCACTCAATCATATTTGGCCCTGCCAGCTCTCTACCAGAT